GGGTGCTCTAGCCAAGCTGAGTTTAACTGAGTCAAACTGAGTTTATGTCTCCCTGAATCTTAACCTTGTTGTTTTGTCTTTGCCTCTCAGCAGGAAGTCATCCTACAAACTGGATGTTTTGGCCTTCTCCCCCTGGAAGGATCGGCTCACGCTTCATACTGAGCAGGGGATTCAAACTGGAGGTTTGGACCCTCTTCCCCACGAAAAGATTGTTTGAGCCTCACACTGAGCAGGGGATTCATCTTCACAAGAACCGTTCAAGTACCACAGGAAATCTAAGTGGCAGTCAGCTCCTCCGCTCCTCAAGGAATCTACTAAATCTGGGTAAACCCTGTCCGCCCTCCAACGAGCCAACGAATCTCTGGAACAACCCACACCGACTGGATTCTGGGAAGGACACCTTTTCTGTAAACGTGGGTCCAGTTGCTGTTTCAACCTTTTGCAAATTGAAGCTCAAATTTCCCACTGAGCCTGAACTAATCACAGAACTTCCCCGTTCACTTTTCAGTCCCGGCTCACCAGTGTTCAGAGCAACACTGGACCCATCTCGACTTGTTTTCAATAAACCTGTTAAACTTTCCCCTGGTTTCTCTGAGGGGTTTCCTGCATGTGGGTCAGATCACTGAAAAAAACCATGACAATATCATTAAGAAAACGCCAAAAGGGGATGCGTTATTTTCTTCAGTGTAGCTTTTAAGGTATTTTGTAGTTATGTTTGTAATATTTTGAAACTTTTTTGGTTATGGTGTTTCATTACTGAATAGGCAGGCGTCACGAGGTAATTTTTGTTAAAGTACTTGACTGTCTGTAAATTCCTCTATATCTAAAGCTTTGTCTTTGATCTCTATAGTTTTCACAGTGTTTAGTAAAGAGCCCGTCTAAAGGAAGCTGTGCCAGTGTTTTCAGTTTGGAGTTAATATTACTGTATTTTTTCATGAATGGGCATAGGCAGAAATCCCAGATGGGAACAGGGAGAAATCTAACATGTTGTCTTAGGCAGACATCCTGTCACGTATGATATTTCTCCCATACAAGCACATTCAAATCATGCTGGAGTTTGAAAATCTGAATTTCAACCAATCAGAGAATCTGAAACAGGAGTTGGCTGAGAGACATGGCCTCCATTCAAGCCGGAAATTTTCTTCCTGTAGAGCTCTCAGCATTAATCCAATCCATTCCAGTTTATATATATAGCACATTTAAAAGCAAACAATGTTTCAAATGTGCTGTACATAAGAACA